TTCACGACGGTGCATGGCGGAGCGGGCATCACGTCTGCGCTGCCGACCACAACTACCGTCGCGTCGACCTCCGTAACGTCCTCTTCCTCTTGGTCGTCTCCTGGTACGTCAACCGCCCCCTGAGGGAAGCGAGTCTCGCGTAGGCGCGCGGCACCCGACTCTCGTCTTCCCTTCCTCGACTGAACGCGTCCCCCACTTCGCCAACCCCCGCCGAAGCGAACGACACGGCCGCTAATTGCGAGATAAATCGTTTATAGTCGCTGCCGCGAGTCGTGTGAATCTTACGAACGAACCAATTTCGGCGACCGTGAAAGTTCCTGAGATCGTTCCCGGCTGATTCGTACCGAAAATCGAGCCTGTCTTTCCACGTGGCACCTCGAAGTATCGGTGGTATATAAAAAGCATGGCCAATTAGGCCACGGTTACAGTAATTGCACGTTCTGTCGCGGCAGTCCATCACACACTCTGTGATAGCCTCAGATTTATTTTCCTCTGAACAAATTCGTCGGAACGCGTCCGTTCACTGTAACGGTGACCTCCTTCGACCTTCAGCCCGTCTTTGACCTTCTCGAGCCATTACGGCCATTACGAGCCGGGAAGGACAAAGTCGGTCGAACGAGTCGTTCAAGTGCAAACGGTGAAAGGTTGGAAAACTGTATGTACGCAGAGAGGACCACGGAGATCCCGTGGGAGGGATCGGGCATGCGAGCCCGCACACGCGATCACGTCTCACACGGGTAACATTGTTGTAAACTTACGTGTACATAGTGATCATGCTACGTTACGATCAACGACATACGTTCATGTATGACGACTGCGTGCGCACGAAATACTCTCGGTGTTTCGATCTACCTTCGAGCAGCGGCTCCCGAAGTCGAAGGGAGTTCGAACGAGAATGCGAGACATGTTGTCCGGCATTTTTATTAGGAATACCTAATCACGACGTTTTCTCCAGTTTGTTACGTCCGTTCAGATTTCAATCGCAACTTTTTCTTGCCCCGCTCTTAAATCTTACACGCTGTTTACCGATTGTAGAAAGCAACGAATGACGGAACGAAACACGACGATAGTCCGCTCCGCCATAGCGCTCCGTCCGTGTCGAAAGTGTACACATTGATCGTGATCGATAATCATATTCGAAGTGGAACCTTCTTTTCAATTTCATGGCACTATTTTGACAATGGAAATATCTTGTTTCTTGTTTCTTTTAACAAACTTTAATTTTTCAAACGAGAATCTAAACCTAACCTGAAGACTAGAAATCTAATCAAAAACCTAAAACCCCCGCGCCAAAAGTGTGAACATCGATCGAATCATTTCCCGAGTTTCCAACGTTAATCCGAAGTAGAATCTTCTTTTGAATTTCCTGGCAACATTTTGACAATGGCTTGGAATGTTTCCTTTCTTTTCTTTTCCAACAAACTTTAATTTCTCAAACAAAAATCTAACCTAAAATCTAACCTGATTAAACTCTAACCTAAATGACCTAAAACCTAACCTGATCAAAACTCTAACCTAAAACTTAGCCTGACTAACCTAAAATCTAATGTGGCTAAAATCCTGGATTTTCCTTATCACAATAATTTCTTATCGTACGATTATTCGTACGAATATTCCACTGTCGAATAGAAAAAAAGAGAAATAGAAAAAGCTCGTCTTAACGTCTAAAGTGTACTATTTTACTTTTTTAAAATATGTAATCACTTCAAAATACGTCAATAGATGCCGTATATATGCGGCGCTCGTGGTGAAAGGGTTATTAAAAAATTTCGCAGAGACGAGACTGTTGTCAAGGCGATTTAATTGAGACTCACTTCGACTTGGAGCCGCTTTCGCGTGCGAAATATGTCGAATGAAAGGAGGCTGGACCGTGGAACTCTGAGCGTTCTGAGCCTGGTGGATGCTACGTTACGAAGGAACAACGTGTCAACGACGAGAGAGACAAATCTGGTCTCGAAAAACCACATTATCCTGTTCGAGAAGAGACTCGATCGCGAAACTCGATTTCTATCAAAATCAAAACGACGCGTTCCCTCGTCATCGTCGACGATCTAATTACATCTAATTATGTCGTGTTACAACGACACGCCTCGAGATCTCGTCCTCTCTCTCTCTCTCTCTCTCTCTCTCGCTCGCTGTCTCCTGCTGCTCTCCAAGATACGTCCAGCGAAGAAGAAAGACGCTGACGACGAGATAACTCGCGATGGAGCGAACAGAAACGTAACAATACGGCGAGGAACCACGTTAGAGACTTGGAGAGCATAGATTAAAACTACATTGGTGGACAAAGTGATAAACCTTGCAAAATTATTGCAAACTACACTGCTCACAAAAAATTTGACTTTCTTTTTCTTCTTATTAAACAAGAACACACTAGAAAAGCAAACAAGTCAAAGAAAGTTGTTCTCGTTTAATAAAAAAAAAAAAAGAATCGAATGCTTCTTCTTTTTTTATCGCTTTATATTCATTTATGAAATGTCCCCTAATTTTTGTTCACAAACAATGCTACAATTGATTAACATTTCCATCAATTGAACGACTATTTCAACTGATTCTTAACGAAAATAATTCCACTTGAACGAAAAACAATTTCACTCGATCGGTACAAAAGTTTTCATTGTGTTTGTTGTAAAACAATGGTACATACAGGTGTAATTTTAATTAACGTTCCCCATGAAAATCGAACGAATATTTCAACAGATTCTTAATTTAAGTGAAACTAGCACAATTTCACTTATCTTGTTCACAACAAATTCTTAACTCAAGCGAAAATAATGTAACTCCACTTGAACAAAGTTTCAAAAGTTTTCAATGATTTTCATTATATTTGTTGCGAACAAACGATAGAAATCAAGAATCGTGCAATTGTAATTAACATTTCCATGAATCGAACGAATATTTACAACAGGCTCTTAATTCAAACGAAAGCAATATACAATAGAACAAAACATGTTGCAAAATTACAAAGATTTTCATTATGTTTGCTGTAAACAATACTACGTACGAGTCAAGGTATTATGTAATTTTGTATTAACATTTCCCACGAAAATGATACGACAATCGCTTGGACAAAATTACAAACACAATGAAAAATTATTACACGTCTGTGTAATCATTTTCAAGGCTGATAATTTTATCCATTAGTGTAGTTTGAGGGACAATTGACGTGCCGGCGAGAGAAGAGCCGAAGGTAATGTCACGATATAATCGTACAAAAGAAAATTGAGCAGAGACCTGTACGCGATATCGGCAGATCGCTCGCGTTTCTTGCGAGCGTCGTTCTTGATTTCGCGAGATACGTTCTTTTTTCTTTTTTTTTTCCCCCTCTTCCTCTCTGTTCCTTCTTTTTCAACAGAGAGAGAGAGGGGGGTAAACGCGTTCCTCGAAATCGGCACTTTCATCGCGAGACGTGAAAATGCCCGATTTTTCCAAAAATGCTCACTTCATTCCTAAATTCAGGACGAGAGCGAATTTCGAATTAGATCGACACTTTGTGCCTGTGGAAATAAATCTTCGATCGATCTCGAGACTGTTCCCTGAGAGAGAGAGA